TCCGGGAGCCCTGCATTGGCGCCGAAAGTGCCCTCTCCGGCATCCGTGAATCGCATGGCGGCGTTCGGGCAGCCACCCTTCAGTTTGCCATCCGAGAACACACCGGCATCGTGCCAGGACAGGCGCACCAGGATCGGTCCGCACTCCTTCTCCTTGACGAGGGTCTCTAGGTCCTTCACCAGAGCGTCATAGCTCTCGCCACCACGAGCTGCCATGGACACCAGGTTCTTCTTGCCACCACGAGGCTTGACTGAGCGGCTGAGGGCAGCGCTGGCCACCAAGCCTGTGCCCACTAGGCCCGCCACACCGGCGACACCACTGCTGCTTGGTGCGGAAAGCGGGCTCGGTCCCGATGCCCGGGCCACGATGCGCGACTGCGACCCTTCAGGAGCCGCCATCATCGAGAAGGCAGAGCCTGCCGCGGCGGCTGAAGCCAGGGCCATGGCCTGAGCCACCCTCGAGTTGGAGCCCTTGGTCATTTTTCTGAAGCGCAAAAAGGGAGAGGACCTCAAAGCACCTTGGGCGGTCAAAGCGGCTTGAGCCATAGACGGACGAGTCTGAGGCTTCGAGCGGACTTCTAGAAGCAAGATTGCCTATCGAATACAGATGTACCCTGGTAGCATCCGCAACAATCATGATGGCGAGATAGCACACCATATCGTGATGAACACCAACAGCAGCAACAGCAGCAATAATCAGATCGACAACAAACGACACGAAATACATCAAACACAACTTGACGAAGTTGGAACAACGAGTAGGCGCAGGAAATACTGAAGTTGTGGTCCACCTTCGGTGTTTGGGACGGGCGCAACGAACTGCAGTATAACGCTTTCGCCGGTTGGATCAACATGCAAAGCTGCGGCAACAAACGCCCTGCTTCAACACCTGGTTCAAAGGTAAAGCATCAGTGCTGTAAGACTTTTGCCCAAATCAACCATATTCCGGCCGAAACACTGCCAACAGCAGACAACTGTGCCGGCCCATGTGCAATACTAGCCGTCCAAGACTCATCACCAGAACAACCCTTTACCTCCTCGATTTCAGGAATATTGGCGCGTTGGCCTGCGCTCCATACAAGTCATCGGTAAAGATAAGCAAGTCGACATGGTGTCTGCCATTGGGCCCCGTGGGCGCTAGCTGTGACATGACAAGAAGGTATGTCAATAGGCCAGTGCCAGCATGCTGTCCAGGACGACACGACTACTGGTCAGCTCCGAGACGTTCTCGGGGAGAAGCGAAACGCCACAAAAAGGAACATCAGTTTCCAAGCAACTCGGACAGCGCCAAGATCTTCATCTGCGTTGGGACATGCAGGTCGGTGTTGATGGAACCTCAGCAACAGCTTGGACCCTCAGCGCTTCACTAAAGCCTAAATCCACCCTAAGCCCTAAATCCTGAAGCTTCAGAGTTTACTACTCAAGAGTCTCTTCGGGCTGCAACCGAGCCTATAGAATCATGAAAAGGCCCTGAATCTCTTGATGCTCATGTGGAGGCTAGTTAGTACCTCGGAATTGTCGCTGCTCCAGTGTACGATGTAGGATTTGGAGGTTCGGGTCGTGCTTTGCCTCCAGCTTGGCTAGAACGAACCTACGATGCAGGGTACAACGGGTTTAGGAATCAAGTTCTGTACCACCTGCAGTATTCATCAGTGGGGAATTGCGGTGCATGAAGACCAAGCATCAGATCATAGCCATGGGTGAATATATATATATATATATACACACACACACACACACACGTGTTACACAGACAGATTATCAGGCAAACCGTCGTAGTAACACACCAAAACCGACAACCAGCCGAGAAAGAGCCTCGTCCTTGAGAAGAAGCTTTCAAGAAGGCTGCCATCATAATATACGGTTTAGGGATTAATTAGGGTGTAGAGTTTCGCCGGAAAACCTGATCCCTGGAACCCAACCCTTAGACCGCATTCTTCAACAGGACCCTCAAAGCAAACACTGAAAAGGAGGCTTCTGAAACTTAAACAGGAAGCCTCAACCACGAAGCACTAGAGCCCTAAACCCCCCCCGCCCCCCCAGGTCCAAACCCTAAAACCCCCCAAGCCAGAAAAAAGACGTCCTCAAAAAAGGGACCCTAAACCCCTAAACCCTTTTCACTCTGCACAAACCCTAACCTTTTTGTTTGAACCCAGGCCCCTAAACCCTAAACCCTAACTCTAACCTAAACCCCAAAGCCCCAGCTCCCCAGCTCGCCCCAGCGACGCTCGAAGTAGGGAGGTAGAAGATGTCCGATGATGTTCCCATCGGGCCTTCAGCTAGGGTTAGGGGTTTAGGGGTTGAGGGTTGAGGGTTTGGGGGTTTAGGGCTTAGGATTTGGGGTTAGGGGTTTAGG